TTTATCGCCGCCCCGTAAATCCCTGATTTCTAATTACATGCTCGCGATACTCCCCGTTCGTCGAAACGGTCCTTCTCGCTTTTCTTCCTATTTCCTCTATCGCGCGTTCGGCTCAGATCGATTTCTATTAAAATGAAAACGTCGATGCGCCGTGAAAAGGGGCTGCAGGGCGTAGCGGAACGTGCAATTCACCGACACCTGGCTAACTTATTGGCGTCGATCTCGTCTGGTCCGCTGCATCGGACGGAAGATCTACGCGGGAGAAACTCGAGTCTCCTTCGAGTTCAATAACGGATATTACGCGTATTTTCTATTAATTTGCGATTCATTTTTATTTAATTATTGATAGGTGGAGTCACATTATTATTGATAGTTCGACTGTCACAATAAAAGTTAACTGTTGTCAGACATACTATAATACAAGTTATTAAGAACAAGAATCTTTCAATTTCATCTTTAAATCTGATAGTGCATATCATTGTCTCAGCGTTAAGTTCTTGTCCAATAAATTTATCTGAATTTGCAGCGTCGGTTACAAGCATACCCAACAAGTTAATTCAAAACGTCAAAACAGCACACAAATGATGCTCGCATATGTACATAGTTATTTAGTCCGTGTGTCGATACAGAAGCAGTAAATATCGCGATGCATTTTGCGATACATGAACGTCAGACTGGGAACAAGTTTTACACTCGCTAGAACTCGAAGCGAGGATCGTGCGCTCTCGAAACGAACGCATACCCCAACTCTCCTCCTTCTTTGAACAGAAGAGGACGTCGTGAGCGTAAGTACGCTTGATTTACGCTAAAAGCCAAGTCGGACCGGCGTTCAATCTTTATCGAGGGGGTAATGCGATGATGATGGACGAGCGACGATTTGTAGAGGCGGAATGCGCGCCGCGCAGGATATATGCGCGTCCGCGCTGTGGAACGGTTATTATTGTAACTCGATCCTGGGACGCGGCGCGCCAGGTAGAAAGCGCAGGAATTTCAGGGAGAGACCGCGGGGAAATTCGATGGGAATATTGTTTTCGAGGTTCGAATCTTCGAGATGTTTCGTGGGAAACGAAAGCGTCTGAATAAAGTCATTTCTCGAACGCCAGACGTGCGTGGATCCAGACGCTAATCGGTATCAGCCTTTTAACGCTTTCCTGCTCACGTATTCACCTGATTTATCGCTTATATACCTTTTTAAAAAGGATTATTCTACTAGGAATGTCTTTTCATTGCCAATACTATCAGGTAAAAGCTGTGCACCTGTACAGTCGTTAATTTTTAATGACATTTCTTTCTGGAATTTTGCGACATTTTATGACTAGTCTTTCATTCGTCTGTTCTGATATCTGAATCTATATTTTATGATCATAGTCGTCCTTAAATATTCTTTAGGTAGAAATAACCTTTTAGTACATAAATAAAAGAGGTCTGAGAAATAAAGAGATAACTCAAATGTTACAAGAAATAATACTTCATGGACCTAAAGAAATTCTCATACTATGACATAAAGGTGCAATGAATCTATGTAATAATACCTGGAGTAATTATATGTAATAACACTTTAACGCACAGTTGAATCACCAATGACTGATACGTAATTAGTAAGTGTTAAGTAATATTCTCCGGATCAGATTCGAGCAATTAATTGAACAACAAGACCCAAAGGTTGTCGCGTGACGATCAGTCACGCGCC